CCAGATCGGTTGCTGAGAATGGGCTCATCACACTTCAGTGGCCTGTCCTGCTCGTAAACCAGCCAGACGTAGCGGTGAAGGCCTAAAAGGAGAGGCAGAGGCGAAGATGTACACACAGTGAAGTCTATGAGATAGAGATGTCGCCCATTTTCATAGAATGGGCAAACTTAGAGAGACCCACACCATCTCATTTGCAAGACGAACACTAAGGACCCAGAGAAGTAGAATCAGTCAGGTCACGTACCTGCTGAAAATCACCGCATGGCTTCCCTACCGCTCTCTGCTCCTCATTCACCCCACCCCAGGCTTCCAGCCCATTTCTAGTAGGACCCTCCAGCTCGTCATTTTCCACCACTCCCACCCAAATGCCAGCTTTATTTTTGTCACAGTGACATTGTTAATTAAAATTCTCACTTTTTAATTTAATCTCCTCACTAGAAAGAGCTCCATAAAGCTGTGATATTTGTCTTTTGGCTATTTTCACCCCAGAACCTACCCCAGTGCCTGGTAAATAGGAGGTGCTAAAAAAATGAGAAATGAAAGAAGTCAGAAAAGCACTGACCAGGGCTCATCATACCACAACCAAGTCTACACAGGCTAACAGAGAACACTATCTTCCGACTTCCAAAACTTAGGTCCTTAGAAGCATAGAGATCTGCTTTGAATGAAATGACCAAACTCACTTCAACCAAAAAAGTAGCAAAGAATGTTTTAAAACCAGCCAGCAAGCACCCTATTAACAATGCGGCTTTCCACAGGCTCCAATTCAGTCCTAGACACAAACAGGTACACCATCAGCTGCTTAAAAAAAAAAAAGTCATTTAAATATTTGTACACCCAAGTGCACTGCATCATTATTCACAATAGCCAAGAGGTGGATGGACTGCAAATAACAACTAATGAATGGATTAACAAAATGTGGTACATAAAGACAATGTTTTTCAACCTTTTTGGAGCGTTCTTGGGCACAGTATCTACCCTAAGTATTTACCCAGGAGAAATGGAAACACATGCCCACAAAATGACAAGAATGTAAAGAACAGCTTTATTCATAATATTCAAACACTGAAAACAACCCCAATGTCCATCAACAGGAGACTGGCTATACAAACTGTGTATATTCATTCACACAATGTAATACCACTTGGCAATAAAAAGGAACAGGCTACTCATAGAAACAACATGGATGAATCTCAGACATTATCTTGAGAGAAAGAGACCGGTCAGCAAAAATAAATGCATCCTGTACATTTATATGAATACAAGAACAGCGAAAGTAATCTATAGAGAGGGAAGTGAGAAAATAGTTAGTTTTGGGGAAATTTAATTCAGAAGGTCATACATGAACCTTAACAGAAATATCCTACAACTCAGCTTGTTGTCAAAGGTGCCTATGAGGTCACCTTCATGCACCAGTCAATATTCATTGACTAAAGAGCTACAATCGGGGCATTTTTTCATATATAAGTCGTACATCATTAAAGAGTATGGGGGGAAAAAAAGCACAAGAAAAAAGTGAGTTACTGAGGCTTTTTTTTGTTAATGAGAACACAGCTCCTGCTTGAAAGAATTGCTTTATTCTCTGTGTGTATTTTCCGTAATTAAACTGCCTAATTTTATAAATGCCCTAGAGAACTTAAGAGATCCCTGGGAAAGATGTCTTGACCTTCTCTTTATGAATGTATGAGAGGGCCTGAAATCATCTAAAGTTTCTGGGTCCACAGATAAAACATGAGCCCATGGCCAACTGTCCGTGTCAGGGACCTTCCTGTACCCCTTCACACTGACTCATGCTGGACAATGTGTACAGAAGCCAGTACGCTGCCATGCTCCACCCACCACTACTCCCTTGTTCCAGCAAATGGATCCTGTAATATACAATAGCAGATAATATATATGTTATATATATAAAACGTAAAACATAACACAATACGATGATGTGTGTCTATCTTTCATATAGTTCTTAGAGTCTTCCAAATCTTTTCAGTATACCACACTAGGTTTTCCAGAGAAAGAGGGAGCTATATAAAGAGATAAAGAAGCCAATTTTTAAAAAATTTTGATATCGTTAATGTACAATTACTTGAACATTATGGTTACTAGACTCCCTCTATTATCAAGTCCCCCCCACATACCCCATTACAGTCACTGTCCGTCAGCATAGTAAGATGAAGAAGCCAATTTTTTATAATTAATTTGGAAACTATGATCATTTCTGAGACTCTTCACGGGCACAAGAAGCTCAAAGATCCTACAGGGCAAAAGTTGAATATAGAACTCAAATAGCTTAACTGTGTTCAATCCATGGGCAGCCCTCCTAGGGAACCACTCCAAGCGTTCTGCAACATCCCTTCCTTGGTATCCTCTGATTTCCCTGCCTGTCAAGGCCTAGCAGCTGGTAGGCATTGCTAACAGTGCTTCCAGCCACCCAACACTACTGCAGGTCTGAAAGTCTCCAGCAGGAGGTGAACTGAGCTGCCTGAAACTTCCACTAGGGTTAGGGGTCTCTAAGAACCACATGAAAATTTGCAGCACTTTAGGCCAATCCTCATGTGCCCCCCAGCTCCCCTCCTGTCTCCCCACAAAGCAGCTTTTACTGACCTGTGCCCTTGGGAGGCCCAGAGCCCACATAATCGGAGAGAACTGTGCCACTGCTGACGTCATTGCCCTTCATGTTGACCACCAGAAAATGGTGCCATTCCCTGTAGGAGGAGCACAGGGCCATCAACACCAAGGAAAATCAGTACTCACACACTTCATAGCCAACAAATGTACATAAGGCACATGCTCCATGCCAGGACGTGGCAACAAACAAGACAATCCTGCTGAAAGCCAGTGCGAAAAAACGTCATGCGTCCGCTGAAGGGAGAACCCAACACTTCCTCCCCCTGAGGCTCTCTAGGGCCGGGCTCTGCAAACTTTTCCTGTAAAGGCCCAGAGGGTAAGAGTTTTAGGCTTTGCAGTTCATGCTGTCTCTGACACAACTATTCAATTCTGCAGGTGTGGCCTGAAAGTGGCCACAGACAAGATATAAATAAGTTAACCCAGCTGTGTTACAATAGAAACTATCTTATGGACACTGAAGTTTGAATTTTGTATAGTTTTCCCATGTCACAAAGTATTACTCTTCTTTCAATTTTTTCCTAATCATTTCAAAATGTAAAACCCATTCTCACAGCCCTGTACAAAAACAGGCCTTGGGTAGATGTGGCTCTCAGCTGTAGTTTCTAGACTCAGTGAAGGAGCAGGAAATGCACACTCTGGCTTAAGCACAGGTGTGAACATCCCAACCAAACCAGGTCTACTTCTGCACAGCATGTCCAGCGAGGGACTTACACAGTGCAAGAGGCACCAGGTCATATTTGGATGACCCACTGTTCCCCATCTTTCCCCAACTCACCTGTATTTGGGGTCTTTCCTGCTGGGAGCATCCGGGTCTGTCATAACCAAAGTGTAGAGTTTACCTGAATCAAGGCCATCCCATGCGATAGTGGTGGGCCGGTTCTTAACCTGCAGGAAGGAACCATCTGGAGTTAGAAAGTCAGAAATGCTGAAGAAACCAACATTCTTTCTTTGACCTCAAGTCCTCAAAGGTCAAACAGAGTAGATTATGAATAAAAGCTCAAGTGTATTGACTCTAAGAGCCAGGAGCCGAAGTTTAATATACGCTCCTGCTGGGACTAAAAATTTATTTTAGTCCCAACAACACTATAGTACTGGTACCCTTGCATAGTCTTAACACAAAGACGTGGGGTCAGGATTCCAAACCTGGAGCAGGCCGAGCCCACTCAACTACAACCTTACATTGCCTGGAATGACTGGGTGACCAGGAGATGAACTGGGACCAGCTAAACTAATATCTGAATTAACTGGCCACTTAAACGTGCACAGAAAATGAGAAAGCCTAGGTGGCCAGAGGAAGATGATGAGTCTGGGAAAAGGGACGCTGAGAGATGGGCACTTTATATTTAAACACACAAAATAATGAACTGTCAGAGCAATGTATCCACACCGCTGCCCTGGGGCTTTATGGCTAACAACCCGCAACGGTGTTGGACATTCTAGTTTCTCCACTTTCAGCAGCCAGGACCTGGGCGGGCCTCGGCCACAAGGGTCAGAGGCCAAACGGTTGGCAGAAGAAGGCCGTTGCCCTGGTGACTTGCCTTTCGTTGGCTTCACGCTCTTGAGCCTAAGACAAAGGAGGAATGGCTGGGCAACGCTGATCACCGGTTACATAATGTGTCACATGTCCTCGCGTGGAGCTTTTGCTCCCCAAACTGAGACCTAAAATCCTGAGACCCTAGTTGAGGCTCTGCGCGACGGAGCGTAAGAGCGGCCACCGCCCATTGCTTCCCGGGCACCGCCCCCTCCCCACCTCTGCCCCCGCCGCCCGGGCTGTTTCTGGGAGCAGGACCCAGCTTGCGCCCCTAAGTCCGGGGCAAGCAGACCAATTCTCCCTGCGGCCGAGCAGCGCCCGCCACGTGCAGGCTTCCCGATGCAAGAGCGTGTGGGCACCGCGACCCCTTTCCCTAGCGGATCCGGCGCACGGAGGCCGGAACGTCCTCTCCTCCTCCGCCGGGTCCCCGCACCGCCGGCCTGCAGGCCTCCACGCCGCGGTCAGCAGCACCCGCGCTGCCCTCAGGTACCTGGGTAGGCGTCAGCACTTTGCCCAGCTCGTCGATCTCCACGCCGGCGTATTTGACCTGCAGCGGGTGCTGCGGACGCTCGTCCACTTCCTGCAGGCTCAAAGGCCCGGACCACTTACTGACGTCCACCGGCATCGCGAGGCCGAGCTAGGCGGGGAGCTGGAAAGATCGCGGGGCTCCTGCAGCAGGACCACAGCACCGACTCCCTGCAGTCCGCAAACTGGGCCGAGGTGCGTGGGTCCCGCGGGGGCGTGCACGCGCCCCGCCCCGTCCCACTCCTCCAATCACTGGCCAAGCCTAGGCCCCCTCTGCTCTCTTAATTGTGGAGCCCCGTAGCTCTCGAGTCTCGCGTTGTGGGGTCAAAGCAGCAGGCTTTGCGTCACGGTTTGCGCCCGGGAGCTGTGCCCTCCGACGCTGCTGAGTTGCCCGGCGCTATGGCTCGGCTTGCAAGACCGTTGTTTTAATAAACGTAATTGAACTGCTTTTGATTTTTTTTAAACCTTTTTGCATGATTCTTTGCTCCGCTTTCTAAATTCAGAAATCGTAAGCCTTGCTTTTTTCTCTTATACTTTTTAAAAGAAACCCGATTGCTTGCGCCGCACTGTTTTCGCGCATGCTCACTTGTTTTGGTAATTGCCGTGTGAGGGCCTGATCGAATTTTTTAGCATTTTTCTCAACGGGCAGATGTATTTGCACATATATTTAATCCCCTCTCCCCACTTGGTTCAAACAAGATTCCTGGGAAATGATTCTTTTGAACAATTATTTTTTTAAAGTAATTATTATTCCTATTTTGCAGACAAGTGGCCCTGTCTTTACCCAAACTCCCTGTGGCCACCAAATGCTTTTTGCTAAATTTAATGGGCACTATTTAAAAGTCCTCTGATTTGACCTTAGGACAGCCTTTGACAATGATAACTACCCCAATGGAATAAAAAGTTGTGTGATGTTTCTCATTAGGAATTCATACAAGTTATTGTAGAAAATTCAGAGAAAATCCCCAAAGTAAATTTTATTTTATGTATTTTCTGTTCCACAATTTGGATGTGAACACCAGTGACAATTGGGGGTATATCTTTACAATTTTAAAACTATAAACATAGATAACTTTATTCTGTTCAGCCACAAAAACTGTGGCTCTACCGTTATAGAATATCTGTGTCAAAAAAGGATCTTCGTTACTGTAATGGCTTATTCTGCTCTAGATGTGCTACAGTTTATTCAAAAATCCTCTTGATAGTGGACACTTCAGCTCTTCTGTTGTTTTTTCCTTTCACAAGTGTCACTGAAATCAACATCCTGATATATTAAAACTTTGTGGATAGTTTTAGAAAAATTTTATTAGACAGGGACTTGCTAGGCCAAAGAATATGTACTTTAAAGGGGTGAATCACAGCTAGGCTAGTGTCCAGTTAGTCCAGAATGGAAACCACCTTTAGCTTCAAAGCACTGATACAGTTATTGTTTCTTTCCATCATTTGTTCCATAAATGCATTTTGAGAACCTTGTAAGCGAAAGGAGAAACAGGCCCCACCCTCACGGGGCGTGCTACCATGGAAAGAGATGTTAATCAAATGACATTCAATAAATGTAAAATTACATGTTGTGATAAGTGCCAGGGAGAGAAGACAGGTCCAGGTTGTAGGTGAGGGTCAGCGCAGCCTGGATGGGTTCCGCAGCTAATTCCCTATGTGACCCAAGGAAAGCCACTTGAAGGCAGGGGGCCTTGATGGGTGGTGGGTACAAAACTTCTTGGGAAAGATGGAAAGAAATTGCAGATATTTCTGCTCCTGGCTACTATTCTTGCCCCTTCACTAGCCCAACAAGTAAATGGTCTCTAGGCCTAACCATGCCTCCAGTCTTCCTCCATCCAAGCCCATCCTGTCCATGTTTATCTTTCTCAGATGTAAATCAGATCAATCCATACCTCTCACCTTCCCCCTTTCTCTAAAGCCCTCCATGACTCACCATTGCCTCAGGATGAATTCCAGACTCTTAATAGGCACCTGTAGACATCTCCTACCTTCCTGCCTCTCCGTCCTTGCATTCTCTCCACTGTGAATTTGATTTGATTCCAACTTGTTTTTCTACCTCTGACCTTTGCATATGCTTTTCCCTCTTCCTGGAATATATTTTCCCCTCATTTCCTTTCCTTCCCAGCTATCCCTATACTGTTGTCCGGTCGTTGTTATTCATCTTAAACATCACTTCCACCTTCTCCCAACCCATCAAGACTGGAGAAATGCCCTGATCTCTGTATCCATTCTGTCCTTTCTCTTTCCTAACATTTAGAACATCTGGGATTACTCATTTATCATCTGAACCACACTATCAGCCACTTGAATATAAACTCCATGAAGATTATCTCTCTTGTTCACTGGTCTTATCCCTAGCACTTAATTAATGCCTCACACAGTTGGTACCTGATACTATCACTGTAATTTTTATTATAAGAAAATAAGTGAATTTAAAAAGAAAACATCTGGTTGGTTTTAGGCTCAGATCATTAAAGCTTCACTGACTGATAAACTATCACATTCAGAAAAGACAGCCCATTTCACCTGTAATTCTGTTATCAACAGCACTTCCTTAATTAGCAGCAGTTAGAGAAATCAGAGTAGTTTTCCTTTCAGTGTTTATATTTAACAGCTCTCATTAAATGCTTATGAGATAATATATGCCACCCCACAAGCCACGTGTTAACAAGGAAAACAACTATTTGAACAGAAGGGATATTTGCATCTTCATAGAAAATGCTCAAAAAAGGGATTTTTAAAGCTTGATTTAGGCTACTCTCTGGGACTAAGCAAGCACAGATGTTCTTTGGAAGTTTAAGAGATGGGGACAACTTTATAGAGTGCCTATCGGGTGCAAAGTGTTTCAGGTGATTTTCCTTGTTTTACAGATATGGTCGTGGAGGTTCATGGAGTCTTGGGAGTGACCACCTACATCTGCCAGCCCCTGAGTGCTGGGCTGCGCTCTCCACCGAGGAGAGAGACCTGGAACCACTTCCACCAAAACACTGATTGGAACCAAGCAAACCATACTGTGTGCAGGTCAGCATGCTCCAGTAACGGCCACTACCGTTTACCAAGTGCCTCCTCTATGCCGGTCAGTGCATTCCAGTGATGGCCATACTGTTGAAGAAGCACCTACCATGTGTAGGCTCCGGTGGTAAGAATGATCATTTACTGAGCACCTGCTGTGTGTGGATCAGAGTGCTCCTGTGAGGCTGACTCCCATCCGCTGACCATTCCCCCAGCCATGAGCCGGGCCTGACTGCAGGCTTGACACGCAGCACCTCCTCTCATCCTCACGCTAACCCAGTGTGGGAGGTACTGCCTTTATCCCCATTCCATGGTAAACTGAGGCTTAAGAAGGTGTAAGTGACAGACAGGAGGAAAGCCCACCTGGCTGCAAAGTCCTTACGCACTCTCTAGCTGGGAGTGACCTCTGCCCTCTGGGAAGCTCTCCCCTGGTGAAGGTGTCATGGGGTGACTGTGAGAGTGCGTCTCTTGGATCTAACTGCTGGGGGAGGTACTGGCCAGGGCCCCAGCTGCCATGCTCTACTGTTTGCAAGGCTACAGCTTGGCAGGCTGCCCCCAGCAATGACGGAGCTCTGCAAGGACTGTGGGGCAGAGCTGGGAGACTGGGCTCCTCGGCAGGGGGTGGGGGGGGCGGTGTTTGCCTGCGTTCCTGGGAACCGCACCTTCAGGCTGACACTTCTTTTCCTCTCAGATGGTTCCCCCAGCCTCTCCCCGGCCCCTTCCCAGCCCCTCCCATTTCCTTTCACAGCCCATTCCCCCAATAAATTCCTTGCACAGCTAATCCCATCTTGTCATCAGCTTCTCAGATGACCAAGAGTCAGTTTCCAAGTTTGAGAGACAGGATGTGAACACACACAACTGGGAGTAGAAGCAAGCTTGGGGTGCTGGGCTTGAGCCAGTGGGCAAACTGGTTTTGCTAGGATGGGGTATTTAGGTAGGGGCAGATGTATGACATAGCAATCAGGCTGAATAAAATTGAAGTGACAGGGAAGGGAGCATCCTTTTATTTTTTTAATTTATAAAAAGTTTAAAAATTTCCTCAGTACACAAATAATCAGCTACATAGGTCTAAATTGGGTTTATCGACAACCCTGCAATGATCATTGTACAGATTAAATGAAATGAAACATGATGTGCTTCATATACAGCTTGGCACATGCAAGTGGGTTCATGTTCATTCTATGAAACACGTAAATGTAAATAAGCAAAATTAATTACGTAAAGACCTTTAGTAATCCTACCACCCCCAAAACAACATCTGGTGGTATGTCCTTCCAGACTTCCTTCTATGTATATAAATGTGAATACCAAAGTATGTATTCAATATGAACTAGATCAAATTATACACACATGCTACTGTGTAATTTGCCTTTCTTGATTTCCTCCCACCATGTCTATAAACAAATTACCACAGCAACATTCTTCAAGGCTACACAGGTATCTAATCTATGGATTGTTGCTTGTTTACAACACAACTCCCCATTTGGAAACATTTAAGGTGTTCTCATTATTCTGCTCTGGAAACATCTGTGCAATATGTATCCTTTTATTTGTACCTTCATGCTTGTACATTGGTTGTTTATTATTTGGTTGGTTGTTTTCTCTTAAGGATAAAATCCTAGACGTTGGTCTAAGAACATTTACATTTTAAGTTTGGGATGCCGTATTCCAAATTGGATGGGGCCTCTGTGACTGCTTTTTAAGCCAAAGGGACCCAGTGATCAAACAGGTTTATTCGTATTTATTATTAAATGTTCTTATCTCCACTAAGTTTTATTTCCATGTTGTTAACATGTCTGTAGAATATATGATTCACATCAGAATGCATACATATTTCTGCATTATCTCATTTAATATTCTCTTTTGAACATTTTTGATATTTAATACATTTCAGAAAGTTGTTTTTAAAACAGCTAATACAATGGTGTTGTGAATTATTTAATCATGTCTTTGTTGTTAGATAATGATGCTGTTTTCCCCATCAGTTGAGGAAAGGAAGTTCAGAAAGTCCCAGGTACTTGCCAGAGGCCAACATCAGATGAGAAGAAAATAGGTGTGAACTGTGGTGAGACATCTCTAGAGAGAACAGGTGTGAACTGTGGTGCTGGTCTTGACATAGGCAGGGCACCCAAAAGACAACTTCTGCCAGCCAGAGCAGAGGAGCCAGGCACCCCTACAAAAGGCTACAGAAAGCCTCATATTCATCCAGAAACTAAGAAGTGCCCTATAGTCCAGGTAAGGACCCAGGTCTGGGAGTGTCTGGGGACTCCTGCCATACAACAGATGCTCTATATTTACTGAAGACTCAACCCTGTTCATATATTTAAACAAGGTGGCAAAAGCGATTTTTAAAAAGAAAGAAAAGAAAAAGAGATGTTACATTTATTGACACACATCTACTATATGCTTGTATTTCTGGGTTGGAATTGGTCTGTGTGTGTCTAGGCAGGGAGCTTCCATAGGTGCTTCTGTGAGCAGATGTGAATGAATGAGCCTGTAAAACCACACGTTGTTTTGTCAATTAAGGGGAGGAAATTCACTGATGTGGTTACTCAGTGGAATGGCTTCATTCCACTTTTACTCATCGTGCATCTGCTAGAGAAAGTGTTTTACCAGGGAGGCCTGATGAAAATAAAGCCCTGTCCTGTGGCCACAGTTTGGAAACTTGTTCAGGCTATGCCAGTGATTTGGAACTGTGGCCCTAGGATGACCTAGGTGCAGGGTGTTGGCCAAGGATATGGACTGAGACATTGTTCTGCAGATTGATCTCCAACTGGGCTCCAGGATTCCAGCTGTTAGGTTTTGTTTTTTTTTTTTTTGAGAGGGCATCTCTCATATTTATTGATCAAATGGTTGTTAACAACAATAAAATTCAGTATAGAGTGGTCAATGCTCAATGTACAATCATTAATCCATCTCAAGCCTAACTCTCGTCAGTCTCCAATCTTCTGAAGCATAACGAACAAGTTCTTACATGGTGAACAAATTCTTACATAGTGAATAAGTTCTTACATGGTGAATAGTGCAAGGGCAGTCATCACAGAAAC